GCGCGCGCTTACCACTCTTTTAAAGCCCGCAAAAATTACAAGGCAGCTAAGGGCCGCCCTCTCGCATGCGCGGAAACCTCCTTCGGTATCGCGAGGGGGAGCCCTCAAAAGCGCATCCGTCCGAATCAGAAACGCGCTTTTTCACGCGCGATTGAGACGTGCGCTGCTCTCAGGAATGAGAGGGAAAAATATATGGAAAGAAAAAAAAAAAAAAAAAGAAAAAAAGGAAGAAACTTCAGCGACGCGCGCCCGGTTATTTGCGCGGCGCGAGGAAGATTACAAGCGCGCGCGAGTTTTTCGAGACTCGCTCATGAGTCTCGTGACGGAAGAAAAAGGAAGCGAAAAAGAGGTGCATGGGCAGGTAAGAAGAAGAGAGAGTCTGCGCGGGTTTGTGAAAAATTGATCGAGCGCGATATCTTACGTTTAGAGGGAAGAACGGGAGACACGACGGAGTCGTCGTCGTCTACTGTTGTATGACGACGGTGACGTGAGAGGGAGTGGAGGGAAAAGAAGAAAAAGCAGGGCACGCGTCGGCCATACATCAAATAATGCCCGCGTGAGAGAGAGAGGGGCTTTAATGCCTCGCGACTTAAACAACGATACACGGCTTCGTGCTGCTGGCAGCTACTGCTGTGTTACATGAATACTATGGGTGGCTGTGGCCACGGGAAGTGCGTCTGCCGCAGAATAGCAAATAATCTCGGTGAATGAGGTTATAATGTCTTCGTACTTTATTTCTTTTTTTCTTTTTTTCGTCGTCCGAGCGTGGGATAAAGATTTTTTTTCGTTGGCGACTTGTTGGGTTGAAAAAAAAACTTTGTAAGTAATAAGAGTTATCTATCGCTCCACATTTTAGAAGTTAATTCTCCTTCTGAGTAAAATGGATTTCACTACTTTCATGCTGACATTTCCTCATTTAGGGTGATACTGTCACCTCTGACGAGTGAGTTTTTACTTTAAAATTGGGGTGACAATTAGTATTAGGTTTAAAGTTTCCCATAACATTATTGAAATTCAAAGTAAAGACAAGTAATGATAAGTAAAAATTAGTAAAGATTATTAAAGATTTGTAAAGATAAATGAAAATGAATGGTGATGTAGGTAGGGATAAAGAACCTTATGGTAAGTGAAGAATAGTAAAGATAAATGAAAGTATAGAGGATGATAAACAGACACATATGGGAATGGAAAATCTGATGAGGAATAAAGAAAAGCAATGGTAAGTAAGGATTGGTAAACAGCATCAAAGACGCGTGAGGATATATTAAGATTAACAGTGACAGGTTGTGATAGAGAATTCAAAGTAATGAGAGGTTATTATGAATAATGGTAGGTCAAGCTAAACAAGGATATTTTCGTAATAATTTTAATGTCTTATCCCTCAAAAATATCATGGAAATTTTTTTTCGATTGGTAAAAATAATAGTTCTAAATAATGGTCAATTTAATTTTCTTTTTTTGTTTTGTATTTCTAAGGTTGTTAGAAATTTGAGTCCGTAAATCCATAGAGATTTGGACGTAGTGTTGATGATATGATTATTAAAAGTGAATCGAGAATTATAAACGATGATCGAATCTGTGGAGGTAGAAATACTGTTCATTAGAATTGTTGTGGATTTGAATTTCAAAATGGCCTAGTAAACATCTTAGGGTGAAATAGGTAATGAGATTGAGAATGACTATGTACGAGTTATTAATAATTACTGGAGACTAAAGTGGCGTGACTATCAGTTAGAAATAATATGTAGCAGGTTGAATGCTAGTCTATTCTTGGAAAAAATAAAAAATAAAAATAAGTGAATATCAAACCATGTTGAAAAATGATATAAAAGCTTACAAAATCAATATATCTAAGTAGCAAACACAATCACCAAAGAATCACTCATTCATGATATTCAAGTAATCAAATTATCTCCGATATGAATGATGCCAAACCAAGATTTCTCGAACTCTTAGATATAAAATGGACAAACTTGTTGGTAGGCTAAATTATTTCCAAGCACCCTCTACACAATTAATCTTGAAACAAAAAAGTATAGAGGGAACAAAGAAACAATAACGAGTCAATTACCAAAGCCGCTGATCGCGTCGTACAAGCCAGCACTGGCCCACCTCCCGGACTCTAGAGGGACCGTAGACTAATTTTAATTTTCTAATTTTTCCTAGCTCGCACGCAGGAAGCCCCGAGGCGAGTGTCTTTCCCTTTCTTCCTTCCTTCCCTTGTGCCGCATCCTCCGGTACTCTCCAGCTCCCTTACAGCACATCGGAGTCGGAGAGTCCCCGGAGAGCCGGCGAAAGAGCGCGCGGCTAATTTCCTTGGAGCACAGAGAATAGACGTATAATTACTTAACGCCTCGAAGAGAGGGACACCCCTTGGCCTCTCTTCCGCTGCTACTGGCTTTTTATTAAAACCCAGAGAACGTTGCCCGAGATGCCCGGGGAGGAAGTGCATTTGCCGAACAAAAAGATCCGACTCGCGATACACCGACTGTATCTTGGCCGAGCTCTTGGTAATGAATAAAAATTTAATTAATCCAGTTTCGAGAATAGTCGTCCTTGTATGATACGCGTTGTTGTATCTACGTATTATTAAATGCATTTGCAGTGCTTTTAATTCAAATGAATATAAGGTGAAGAATACGATTGTTATGGTAACGAACAAAGTATAAACGAAACATAAATTGTTCCTGATTTCGGCATCTAATGACTTCATTCATCGAAGCACGTCGAGCTCGATATCTTTGTCGCCATCGCTGCTAAATATTCCGAAACGAGCAAAACGTAAAATGAAATTCTCAGTTACCCCACGGAAAACCAATCTATATAGAAAGCCACTGAAATTTATCAGCAGCGGTGAGCCAAATTAAATACGGCACGACGCGATGATCTTGAAATCAATTCTTCCCCCAAATCATCCTATCGGCAAGCACGGCCATCCACTGGTCGCATCAGCAGCAGTACCCTGTGGAAAGCCGGAGGGAGAGCTGGGTCGGCACTATTTTTAGTACATTGAAAAGCCTTGCTCTATCGGGTTGCCAATAAAGTCCACTTGACCTGGAATCTCGCCAGAGCTCCACTCCACTTTGGTTGTACATTGCGTTCTCCAGTCCATCGGTTCCTCCGGATGCCCTCTGAAAAAAAAAACATTTCAAATAAAACATGCACCCCTTTAACAACGCAACAAATGATTATTGAAAAACCGTACTTTGTAAGAATCGTACTATTATCATTATACTTTTGTACTTTTTGTTTTAAAATATAGCAAAACCCAACACCTACTAGATTAAATTGATCAAGAAGAAAAATAAAAAATCGATCCCACATTTTCCCCCTCATACGTGGTTGACAATCTGTCGCACAGGAGAGAGGCCTATCGCTATAGGTCTTATCATTACTTGTAAGTATACACAGTTCGTATGGTCTCGGGATCAGGAAGACAAAGAAAAATAAAAGAGGTGGGAGAAGGAGAAGGTGGCTGTGTCAGCAGAGAGGCCTCCTCGCACTGGTTTCTGTATACTAGTGGGTTGTGGGTTGTGGCTGGTGTTAGATACACACCAGAGTTTAGTGTAGTACCCGCGGGTGGGGAGGAGCCATCTTGCGGGAGCGAGAGAGGAGAAAGAGAGCATGGGGCAATTGATTCGAGCTGCCTCTGCCTGTCTCCCCCCACCGCTCCATCACTACGTCCCACCACCACCACCACCACCACCACCCGCTATCTCGCTGATTCAATTCCGCAGCGAGAGAGAGCACACGTGATCAGCAGATTTAAGGGGTGGGGGGAGCGAAAAAAGGTATCCACATTGTGGGCGTGGCTTTGGTCCCATTCGCTGGTGAGCCGGCGGCACCGACTTGCCCAATGGCGCCCCATTCCTGCTTTGACCGCGTTGGTAAGACGAGGACGAAGCTAGCGAGCTAGCGGCTTGAGGCTTGTACTGCGCCCACGGGGGATGGATCGCCACCACTGCCGCCTCGGTATCAAGCTCAGTGTGGCTTCGGCCAGATAGTGCCGTGCCGTCGCCTCGTGCCCCTCGTGTTACAGTTGCCGCCGCTGCCCCTAATACAGTACACAACATGCGCTAGAATCTGACAGGAGGCTTCTATTATCTTTCGTGTCCTGGTACTGGAAGAGCGACCGTGCGGGCGTTGGCTTGGCTTGACCAGCGATGAAACGTGAAATATTGCGAATCGTTGCGTTATTGCTTGATTAGTGCAACGGGATGGAGGGGTCGTTGGGTCACGGAGGGGTGACTCCCGAGGGGACGTTTTGACGAGTGATGGCTGACCAAAAGAGTTCCAGATCTACTGAAACGAGTCGGGGAGCCGATGGTGCGTAGTTTTCCAGTCATAAGCCAGGATTCAACAGAGTGGCAAGCGATGGGTCGAGTGACAGAACGATGGCAGGGCAACTGTCAACGCCCCGACAGCTGTCAATGCCGTCCACCGTTGGTTGATCATTGTCCGTGCACTGATTTGTGTAAAATCCATCGGTTCTAATACTGACATTGCCAATGAGTTCAGCCGAGTTTGAGGTTATATTGGTGTTGCTGGCCGACGGATAGCTGCAACCAGAGCCACTGGTAGCAACCTCTTGAAAAAGGATTTTTTTCAATCTCATCCCAGTTTCTCGGGCCTCGTTAGCTCGGAACAATGTCCACGAAGGATAGGACACTTTTTGAACAGTCAATCCGACTGACACGTGGGTGTGAATAAACAATCGCGTCGACAGAGTGCTGTGTCGTTACGTAACGCTAACGTGACAATAATTTCAGCCGGGTTTCACTTGAACCCAAAATGATGCCCATGGTGACGTAGATCAGTGCCCCTCGAGGCCACACCCCCACACCGAGACATATCCCTTAGATAGAGAGCCGGTGATCGCGTCACCACCGTGACCATCATCACCCGCTACTCCACGTCGTCGTCGTCGTCCGGGGGCCCGCGCTACGCCGTCGGCCGCCGACCACGACGGCGCCTACAACGACGCGAAGCTGATACCCAACATGGTGCTAGAGCCAGGGGGTGGCTTGTCGTTCCCGCCGCCTCCTGGTGGTGGCAGTGCCGCGGTGGCTGCCGCAGCTGCCGCCGCGGCCGCGGCAGTGGCTAGCTCGAGTGGAGGTGCTTCGGGCGTCGCCACGACCGCCGGCTCCCTGCTCGGGCCCACGAGGCTCTTCCAGAGGACGGCACCCGTGTTCCCGTTCCACCTGCCGGGCTGGCACCACCCGGTCCTGGGTCAGGTACAGAGTCAGGTGCAGCAGTCGATACAGGCCCAGGCCGCGCAAGCCGTGGCCGTGCGTTACCTCAGCCATCACCATCCGCACCATGCGCATCCGGCCCTGGCCAGCCATCCGCTCGTGCCTGGGATTGGCCCTCATCACCCGGGGGCCCATCATCTGCATCACTCCATGGCCGATCACAACGATGACGACGACGACAAGAAAGGTAAGCCAGTTACGGTTTTTATCTTTATTATTATTAGTTTTTTTTTTTCATTACTACGTTGGTGGTTCGTCGTGAAACACGGCCTATCGTGAAGCTTCATTTGCACGCTTAATGCCATTCAAATATAGTGGGACTCATTCATAATATTGACAATGTCGGTAATGTATGGTCGAGTACTACTTTCAACTGTATATTCATACACTCGGTTTGTATTAATCTTCATTGTCTTAGGTACTTGTAATAAAGGGTGAGAAAAAAAATGTGTCGAGGGTCTAGGGCTTTACAAAGGTCTAAAGTAATTTTGTTATTCACTTGTATTCTCTTGAATTTCATGACATTATTCAATACCAAATACCAGTTAAATTTTCAAGACAATATCAATACAACTCTTTGTCCACAAATTTAAGGAAACCAAATCTTTCATAGTTCTTTTGTGTTTGTCATAATCAGTGCTAATTGAAAAAATAAATGCTCTACGGAAACTTTGAAGTTTGATGGTAATTTTGTGATTCTTCCTTCCAAGAGCAAAACGGTTCATCATTTTAATATAAATTAAATCATAATATGCACGATAATACTAGAATAAGAATCAGCATAAAGCCAGATTAATAGTGTTTTAGTATATACGAGAGTTTTTTTTTTATTTTGTGCGTAAGTACATAGCTACTATATAACGTAAACAAACCAAGTAAGCGTTTTATTAAAATATACAAACTGAATTCAAATTCAGCAGTTATACTATCCAAAGTAATCTCAGATACTCTGACTAAATACCAAGGCAAGATTAATTTTTTCAATATTTTTCAAGACTAATACAATGTTGTCTTTAAAATTGGTTTGTCTTGCTCTTGTGGAGCCTCAGTCGAGACGTCACATGGAATTCTCGTTTTATGTCCATGTTATTCCATTGATTTATAAAAATACCGCGAATAAACACGTATTTCTGTGTGACGTTATTTATGTATCAAAACTCATCTATTGAATATGATCACGCGAAGGCAATGAGATTCTTGTTTTGTCTGAATAGCATTATCCTCTTCGTACAACTAGCTGTGCTGAGATTGAAACGACACGACCAAAATTATGATCAATAATTCATACGCACCTTTAATTCCTTCGAATGGGACTTTAGTCGGCCATCACGTGATGATGAGCGTAGATAATGGTCCATTATTCTTGGTGCAAGAGAGACCATTTGTCCATGAATAAAGAGCCTTTTTTATGGTCTACAAAAACAAAAGGTGGTGGGAAAGAGAGCGCGATACGTTGTGATTGAGTCGGAATCGCGACTCGGGTACAGAACGGGGGCCTGTAATTTCTGCAGCAATGGCCATTTAACTTGGTGTACACAGAAAAACAGTTTCAGTTGACCGTGTATTGTGTAAAATATTGATCAGAATGCTCCGTTATTTCGATGGATATTTTACTTTCTTTGATCTAATATTTCTGTAACTGAATTCAATATTTTTGCTCACTAGCAGTGAACAATTGGATTTTTTTTATCGAGAGTCGATTTAAGCCGATAACGTACACTAAAAAATGAAATATTTTTAATTACCAAGTATACATTTACAGTTACAAACATCAAATTTTAGAAAAAAAAAAAAAAAAAAAGTAACCCTACGTGACCAGAATGACATAATCAAATGGTAATTTGTAACTAAGTTGATCAATGCCCACTTAAACATGTAGTAGTCAAATTTATTTTTTTTTTTGGGGAAGCAATACAACTTTCACTACTTGTTGGTAAAATCATCAATCTGAAGGTCTTTTGTTGGAAAAAAAAAAAAAGAGAACCAACAATACCGGTAACAATACACCATCATTTGCGATACGCGAATCCGAACCCTTTGACACGCGGCATCATCAATTAAAAAAAACCTCTTTATCATATAGCATCTAACACCACGAAAAAAAGCTAACCGTGACAAAACATCGATCCCGGCTATAAACACCCGACAAATAAAAGGACGGGGACCAAGAGAGAGAGAGATAGGGTCCGAAGGAATGTTACGTAACCCACGAGTCGCCGTCCCGCGGAGGTGTGACGGCCGGCGTTTTTTTTTTTTCTCCCCCGCTTCATTGTACGCGCGTACGTATACATGGTTCTCGAGGCCCCATTCTTCGTACGCGACAATAACGCGTGTACAGCAACAACAATGAGCCAAGAGGCCGGCACGAAAAGTAAAATAGAGAAAGTGGCCTGCGGGGACTTTCGTAACGCGGTCAATCATAAGATCGTTGCCTAGGATCCCGTGGGACCGCTTACGCGCACGAGCCGTCGGACGCCGAAAATCCCCGTGATGGTACACATACACGTATACGTACAAGCAGTAAAATGTGCTGCTCGTCGAGGGGAGGAAAAGAAAGATCCTCTCTCTCTCGACTTTTCCTTTTTTTTTCCTTCTCTGTACTTCTCGGGGGCTTATACGTGATCCCATTTGCCGGGGAACCCCCCCGCGTAGGCTGCGTCTTCTGTTCTGGGGAGTGGTTGTATTGTTTGTCGATTTTTATCGCGTTTACGCCGGTGAGAGGGAAAAGTTGGCCCGAACGGTGACTGGGATTAATTTATTTTTATTGGCCAACCCCTCCGAGCTGCTTCAGGGCTTCTTCTGCTTTGGGAGTTTAACGCCTCTCTTTCTGCAAGCTATATGCGTAGCTGGTGGCGATGACGCGGTCTATTGCTTCGTCATTTGATTAAAACGGGGAATTTTTTTTTTCTTTTTTTTTTTTTAGGTTCTCTAATTTCCAAAGCTTATTATTCCGTTTGGCGATTCAATGCCGTTGAAAATGTCGCAACTTTGAAAATGGGTGTGAAATCTTTCGGAATCCAGAAAAATATCTCCGGATCTACGCTTGATCAATCATTCGTTCCGATTAAATTTTCCCCGTTCCCTGCCCGTGATCTCATCGAGGGGCTCGCTAAAGAGCTTAAATTTGCCTCAATAAAATTGGCCTCGCGCGAGTGCTTACGCGGCGGCGAAGAAACCGGGTGCCACCGTATTATACCACTTGCGGCGCGAAAGATGCGCGAAAAGTCGCGCCGGCCAACGGCAGCGGGGAGGCAGTACCGGCGCGCTCGTTAAACGCCTTTAATGGCCGATCGTTAAGGCTCCGCGCTGACACATGCGAGCCAACTTAATTCGCTCTCCCATTGCCCGTCTCAATGTTTTCGCGCGATTTCTCTGTAGTGCACCGCATAATAGCCCAAGTAAACGCAAAACGATGCTCTACGTGTTTTCCAAAAGCTTATACAATAGCGTGGACACCTGCTTGTGTCGAATGGAGAGAAAAAAAAAGGTCTACAGGCGCTTTTCGACTTTACTGGATATACGTATATGTATATAAAAGTCGGCTGGTTCCTCGGATTAGGCTGCGGATGGGTGCGCCGTCACGGAAACAGTATATCTGTACACGCGTATACACGCCCATGGCGCGTTTCACGAAAAATATATAAGAAGCTTTTGAATTCGAGGCTCGATTGCCCGGGAGCATAATTTATCGGAGGGGATTATGTCCAAATTGAGACATCAATTTCGATTATTAAAAGCGACTTGATTAACATGCTTCCCCTTCTCTTTTGGACGTAGCCGGCCGGGATGTGGCCGTTTTCGTTATTGAAAAGTGAAAATAAAAAGGAAGAGGTACTCTGTGAATTAATTTTTTCACTCCGCTCATAGGGACCTTTCCTAGAGCTCCTCCTGCGATACGAGTTGTCGCAAAAAAGCCAAACTCTTGCGCATAAGCGCGATGATGAAATGCCCAAACAGAATGATGCAACCCAATTCAATAAACCAATAGCCGGGGCATGTACGAAAATTACTTTTTAATATCTTAGTTTAGCCGGGGGATGAAAGCCGGAGACTTACACAAACTCACTGGACGTAGCAGCCGGTTTTGCCGAGGCTCCGTACATACACACACGCAACTACACAGCTCTGTGATTCCGTAATGCTGTGGCTTGTATCCTCGGGAAGGCGGCTGTGTTGTGCTCTACAACTATAGCAACTAAGTTTGTACAGGGACGAGGTATCGAAAAACAAAAAAAAACAGGAGGAGGAGGAGGAGGCGAGTATACAAGAATCTGAAAATCAGAGAAGAGGACACAAACACGTAGAGAGGACGCGTACGTGTGTGTGTAAGTCAAGGGAGGCGAGGAAGAAGGTGGATTGGTGTGTGGATGCGTGTGCAGGTATACACGAGCACCTGGAGAGGAAGACGAGGGGGAAGGAAGAGAGAGAGGACGGTGTACAGGGTGGAGCAAAGGAGGAAGAAAGAAAGAAAAGTGAGGCAGCGACTGCGGGGTAATAACTTAATTTAAACTAAACTACAGTTTAATAATTCCCGAGCAGGCCGGTGCTCCGGCCGACTCTCGAGAGCAGAGCGTGGAAGAAGAGCGAGAGAGAGAGAGAGAGAGAGATGTGCGCAACCAGCAATTTCCGAGCCGCCGTTAACTGCCGGTCGTTAGTCCCTTTTCAAAACTCCTTTTTCTCTCGTTCTTTTCCCTCCGTCCCTCCGCGGAGGAGCATCTTCCCTCCGGCGACTCTCCCTTGCGCTTTTTCCCCCCTGCCGCCGCGGCCGACTTCTTCTGTGTACGTGTACGTATAGCTCCGCGCTTTCTTTCGGGCCTTTTGTTTTTCGGTAAGAGAATTTTTATGGACAAAATCCCCCTACCCGTCGCTTCCTCGACATTTATTTGTCTTTTTCAATGTATAGCTTCAAGTGACTTTATTTGCCATTTCTGTTTCCCTTCTGCGCTAAGGAAATGTCACGCAATGTAACGCCTGTGCACGTAATCGATGGTGATCTCGTATATGAAACGAAGGCATTGAATGATAACGCGCTTACCATGATTTGTTAATTAAATAAGAAACGCTTTAATTAAAAGCAACAGGGCCGAGGAAACACAAAGAGATAATTTGACGCGTATCGCGAGCGTCTCCCTTTTCTTTTTCCGTCCGAGAGATAATTTTCGGGGCCTTGCCCGGCCACGACTCGCA